GACGAACGGCAATTCATTTTTATATATATAGATTAATCGCACAAAATTGCAAAATATTTTTAACGAACATTTAAACTTCAGCTAATAATTTAACGTAGAGCTAGTAATAGACTAGACACTGTTGCTATCTAGAGAGTTATTGTGGGGTAAAAGATGAGGCACCTGATGTACTCGTATCGAGCGACGCTACTGCGTCCTTTTGCAAATCCCACGAACAGTTACTAAGTCTTGATCCCATGATTTGTAAGCGGAGTAAATCTGTCTCTAAATAATGTCTCTAAGTAACACTTTGCGTACGGTCCGTAATCACCTATGCGAATGTGGAGTTCGCTAAGGCGCCCCAGTCGTCGTTGAAGTCGTCGTGGCCGAAAAGATAAGACGTCCGGTGCATTCGTGTTGAAGCGATGCACCGGTGTTCGAATCCAGCAGGCGGGTACCAATTTTTCTAATGAAATACGTACTCAACAAATGTTCACGATTGACTTCCACGGTGAAGGAATAACCTCGTGTAATAAAAGTGAAACCCGCAAAATTATAATTTGCGTAATTACTGGTGGTAGGACCTGTTGTGAGTCCGCGCGGGTAGGTACCACCACCCTGCCTATTTCGGCCGTGAAGCAGTAATGCGTTTCGGTTTGAAGGGTGGGGCAGCCGTTGTAACTATACTGAGACCTTACAACTTATATCTCAAGGTGGGTGGCGCATTTACATTGTAGATGTCTATGGGCTCCAGTAACCACTTAACACCAGGTGGGCTGTGAGCTCGTCCACACATCTAAGCAATAAAAAAATATAAAAAAAACCCGCATAGACGACACCCTTTGGTCTCTTCATCCCGTTTTTTAAGGATAGCCGTCGTAGCGTCCTGGCTTGTGATGAGTACGAATCTTCGCGACGACCTAGGTCTCGAGCCCATCCGAAAACGCCTGAAGTAAGCGTCGGAACGATACTTCGATAAGGTGTTGCGGCTTGAAAATCGCTTCATCGCGGCAGCCGCCGATTACTTTCCGACCTCGGCTCAAGCAGGACCCAGTCACCGTCGTCACCTTAAATATGTCGTAACGGATCCATTCGAACAAATAATACAGCTATTAGACGTCTGCAGTTCTACCACTAGGAGCAGGCATATGGACCCTAGTAATCCTACTTTTCGAACTCGTCAAAGGGTTCACATGGAATCTAACCCATAACATCAGCCCACTGAGTTTCTCACGGGTCACGATTTCGATTCTGTAGTAGATATATTCGCGAAATAGCTACTCTCGAGTCGATAGTTTCCTTCGGAGGTGCTTGGGAATTTGTTAGCAAATACCGTCCCTCCTGGTCGAGCCTGAGCTCGCCTATCTGTGATGGTAAAACTGGAAAGGCCTTTGGGTAAAAAAAAAAAACAATTTTTGACACGCTTATATTAACTTAGTATGTATGTAATGTATGTATATCTTTTTCTCCACCTTATGCCACTAGGTGGGGTCGGCACAGCTAGTTTTTCTCTTCTGTTCTCTTCTATCAGCCGTCATCTCAATACTTATTCCTCTCTCTCTCATATCGTCATTCACACACTCCATCCATGTCTTCTTCGGTCGACCTCTTCCCCTCTACCTTGCACTACCATTTCCATACATCTCCTAGTCACATGCATCTCCTCTCTACGCATCACATGTCCATACCATGCTAACCGTCCGCTCTTTAATTTGTCGACTACCGCAGTTACTTTCATGTAATGTATATACATATAACGGAATCGTTGAACTTAATCATTTCATTGACTTCAAAACTTTCAATTAATCTGTACATGCAAGTCGGATGACAATACAATAATTTTATAAGTCCGCTCATATATACTGACCAGTTTCAACATGATAAAAATAGGATAGAAGATAATTGTTACTTCAGTTTCCTACTGACATAGCGTGTTCTATAAGTATTTAAAATACATATGAATTTACATATATTATTATAATTAAATACATACTTAATTACAGGCCGGGCTCAGTGGTGTAGATTGGGAGAGGCCTATGTCCAGCAGTGGACGACTGTGGGTTGTTGATAATGATGATGATGATGACATACTTAATTTATAGTCACGAATGACTTCGTTGCAGAAATAAGCTGGGTAGTTATACCTACACGTGCGCGCTTCAGAATATAGGCTCTATACCTGTAAAAACTGCTGGAAATAGTTTATAGTTCCAGCGAAGAATTTTTATGGTTAAAAATAAAAATACTAAAATAATATTCTCAATGTTTATTGAGTCCAACATCAGCGTCTTCGTAGTTTTAACACGCAATCACATTGCATACATACAAGCATTTTAATTATTTAATATTTACAGTAAAATTCAAAATTATTCTAAAGCTTATAGTGTATATTTAATAAACTTTAGTCTTAAATTATGTTGATTTAAATATCGAAATATCGGACAGTATTATTATAAATATTGTATTTTATGATAGAATATTTGAATGGTTTAAATAGCCAGCGCATCTGTTGCTTGCGTATTGTTCAGAATATAAAGTGCTGATAAGAAAGAGTTTTAAGGAGAATATATGAATTTTAAAGTGTATTTTAGTATATTTTCTCTATAAAATGTATCTATCTGATTTTTCTCAAAGAACTCTGCTGTCAGCTGACGATAAATTTGCATTGTATCCAACTGAAATGCATTTCACACGTTCAAATGATAGTGACAAAATTCGGACATAATAATCTGATTTAGGCAAGCCTTTTTTTATAGTAGAGTATTTTTTTTATTAATTAATTTAAATATTGTTTTATTAATTTATCAATAATTAAAAATATATCACTACAAATGGCACCATCCTAAACCTTACGCGAATCGGTGATACGAATAGGGTCGAATGTCGACTCTCCAGTTTGGACTGAAGGCATGATCGGTAAGTCTATTTACAACACTTTAGAATTTGGTGCACTTAATTTTTTTTGTGTGTATATGTGTACTATGTGTGTTCCATTTTTTTTTTCAAGCGAATATTTAGTTGATATCGTTGAGAGAAATAAGCTAACGTATTGCATTAAGTTTAGTATTTATATTCTAGTGTATGTATGCATATACAATTTGATAGAAAATACTAGGATCACAATAATCAGCAAGAGTTCTTATTTTAACTACATCAAAACTGTTTTCTGTGCTATTCATTTACTAATACTATTATGCTTGAATATTTTAGATAAAATTCAATTCTATTATAATAAATGTTGACTTGATTTCTGTAAAATATTTAATTTATCAATTTATATTTAGGAATGTGTTGGATATTTTCAAAGATTTCAATTCTAATAATAAATCTGTACTTCAATAGAGGAGTTATAGAGAGTCTTAAAATATGTAGGTATATATGTATTGGGTTCGAGGAGCTGCTTTTAGAATTTTAATGTTTGATTTTAATGGATAATGTTTATGAAAACAAGTAGCACATGAGATAAACATCTTATTAATTAGGATTTTTTTTATATATTTGGATCTCATTGAAATGATAGAATATTAAATAACACCGGCCGACATCATTTTCCTTGTTAAAGTTCTGATTATTTTTTTCTACTAATTTGGTAGTGCTGATTACGAAATTATACCTCATTTTATCGTATCACATCAGGTTTTAAAAAAAGTTAAGACATTGGCTATTTGAAATTTTTTGATGAAAATAAATTAAATTTTAGATTTTGGCGCTCTTTTCTCGAATCGTGGGACCTCTCGTGAGGAAATATATTAGTTGCAACAACGACACACCCATTCGAAACAGGTTACATTCAAATAAACCTCTACAGTTACTTTGTTTAAAAACTTTTTACTGAAATTAGTGTGTTTATTTTTAAAAAAATCTTACGATTTACTTATGTATATATTTTTTTATTATTTTTTTACTTATATACAAAATTTCCATGCTTCTTGTGCGAGTGGGACAGTAGAGCACGAGACAAGCACCACGTTCAAAAACAATGGAATCCTCGTAAAAATCTCAAAGTAGAAACAAAAAACGTTATACGAAAAAAATTAATTGGTCCTGAAAAAATGTTACTACCTCCGCTTCATATCAAACTCGGTATGATGAAACAGTTCGTTAAAGCATTGGATAAAAACAATGCTAGTTTTGAATACCTGTGTAAAAAAATTCCAAGATTATCTGATGCAAAAATTAAAGAAGGAGTGTTCGATGGACCGCAAATCAGATCTTTGATGGCTGATGAAAAATTTGATGCCACAATGAATATCACTGAATCAGATGCTTGGGTGGCGTTCAAAGATGTTGTCAACAATTTTCTAGGAAATAATAAACATCCCGACTATAAAAATAAGGTTGCAAACTTATTGGATAAGTATCAAAAATTGGGGTGTAATATGAGCATAAAACTCCACTTTCTAGATTCACATGTGGACCTTTTTCCTGATAATCTTGGTGATTACAGTGAAGAGCAGGGAGAAAGGTTTCATCAGGACATAAAAACTATGGAGACAAGGTACCCAGGTCGATGGAATGTGAATATGATGGCTGATTACTGCTGGTCACTGACACGTGATATTACTGAAGATACTCACAAAAAAACTACACCCAGACGTAATTTTGTCGCGAAACGTAAAAGATGTCAATCTAAATAGTCCTGCAGCATTATTTAGACTCAATGTTTTCTTTGTAAATGTTCAAATATATGTTTTTGTAATATGATTATTGATTTTTTCGTTAAATTAAAAAAAAAATGCTTTTTCCTTCTTTTAAAAAAATCTGATGTGATAGGGCAAATATGTAGGTGTTTTTGTGTTTAAAATAGTATAAATTGGTGATATTTGTGGCTCAAATACAAACAACTTTCAAAAAATTTTCATTTGTCGGCCGGTGTAATTAATCATTAATTCACACCTATCTCTTATCTATAATTATATCGTTAGATTTATATTCCAATAAAATATAATATATTTACAATGATCTTAATACTTTCCTAAATAATCCAAACATTTTATAGACAAAATTAATCCTATATTTATAAGAATTTGATTCACTAAATTGTCTTTCATTCGCATATTATTTACATTTATTTTTATGCTTACATTAAAATTTTTATATGCAATTACAGTCATTATTACGAAGTCAAACTGTCGATAATCGATAATTAGCCTGAATAAAACAGAGAATTGCCTGTGAAATATGCGACTATAATCATTTTAGGAAGGATAATTACGTCTACTATGATTGGTACAACTTCGAAATAGAATGCGTGTTAATAGAATCACAACAAGATTTTTATATTGATTTTAAATTATAAATATAGATTACGATAGCCATAGTGGTCATTAATAATCTAATCTTACTTTATCTGTGTGACGGGGAACACAGTTACAACTTTTTAAATATTTAATTTCTACACAATAAATAGGTACATTAAACAATTTAAAGCCACAAATAAAATTGAAACGTCGTGTCTACACATCTTTGGAATTATTACTTTACCCTTCTCTTTCCACAATATGCAAATGAATTAAATGTAAGAGTTTGTCACACAAAAAATACGTTGTAATTATAATATAGATTTTTATACAATTTCTAAAGTTAGAGTTTCTACAGAATATATTAACACAATGATATGCTTTGTTTGAAACTACTCTCGAAATAATACCTAAGAATCACAGTATAGACTAGAATTTTAAAGTTTAGCGATGATATCAGAGTTTGAACTATTTTTTACGATTGCAGCTGGGATAGAACAACTTTATTCTGTTAACAGTGTCAATAAATAGCAGTGAGGCTGCCGACCACGTGTATTTATGGACATACTTTTGTTTAAGTCTGGCCCCCTAGACCTTATGCTTCTTAAGTCTCACCGTTGGGTACCGATCCGGCTGTTAATAGTCGGGTCTTATTGATAATCGCTGTAAAAATATTTTTTTGAGGGAAGATAGTTTTGCCTAGAATAATTCCGACACTCAGTAAAACATCTTCGAGCTAACGTTGGAATATTATCATGTAAAATGAAGCAGGCCCTAGATGACTGGACCACCTTACTTAAACTTGCGAAAGAAAGCATAATATCATCACTATACATCATTTATCTTAAAACTACAACAACATCACGTGGTCATTTTAAAAAACCTTCACAGCATAAACCTTAGCCTTAAATAAAAAAAAATACACCAATGGCACACATCCATTCTTGAAAACAAACTCTTTGGCATTAATCTTATCAGTTTTTCTCAGAGTCTAATCTACCAATAACTTAACGTATTGCTATTAAAAATGTATCAGCCATTAATAACATCAGTAATACCAAGAAAATGAGAAAAATATTTAAAGCTATCAACAGAACCTTCTTTATTTTCTTCACCTAGCAGCTATCAAAATAATAAATCACATGCTTCCCATATAAAACATTAAACACACATAGTCATTGGAACGTAAGTACAGTCTTTAAACAGTGACCTCTTCAGTGAATCGACTCTTGTCATCCAAGTTGATGACGATAGCATGTGTCCTGGCGTGACCTGATCTCACTCCTCGAATAGTCTCAACACTACCGGGATTCGATTTTGTATCACTCTTCTCACTTTTACCGTTAAGTCCGTTCCTACTAGCTACTTCCGGAGGTCTAATATCCCCACAATTTGCTTCTCCACTAATTTTAAATACTCCATTCTGCTTCTCATCTTTGGCCTCGTTCAGATCAGCCTTTTTCTTAGGAGACTCTGCAGTAACCGTGACGTCTGTATGACTTTGCTCCGCGTTGCTTGTTTCGACGCTTTTGTTTGGGCTAAAAGTTTTCTGTTTATAAGCTGGGGGTGCTTCGAATGGCATGTCCCTGCCGCTGCTGCTAGATTCTTCGGCAGGGGTGACGGTGCACATAAGCCTGTCAGCTACGGCACTGAACACTGTGTTTAGTTTAAGCGGAGCTGATTCAGACGTGGCCGGTTTCCGTTCGTGAATCACAACAGAATCTTGCATGGCTATGATTTTCCTCGCGATATGAGCGCTGCCTCCGCACCTTTCCCTCAACTTGTCGAGTTGGTTGCATATCTTTCGGAACTCCTCCTTTTGAATATGAAAACGTTTAAGACAATTAAATGGATAACCTAAATACGAAGTTGATGATATAAATGTTGCATCTTTATATACAGTATGTTTGGAGCTTTCATGAGGGGAATGACTTTGGAATTGACCAGTTTGCTACGAAGAGGCAAAAGAATGTTTGATAATGTAACGGGCGTGACGTCATTTGCCATGCCCTGCTGCCAAGCCAAGCCATGTATTAACACGCCTCTTACCGCCACTGCCACTAGCCAAAGCCAACGAAGGGGGGATAGTGTTAATAAAACAGGCCTTGCCAGCCAGTTCTACTCTACTACTACTACTACTACTACTTTCTGCTTTCTCACACAAATAAAAAAAGAACTTATCGTTACGCTGCTGGTTTTTTATATCGCATCATTTACTACAATAAATTGAAAAATGATAAAAACTAGGTTTGCTACCTAAAGTGAGGACAATCTTACCTCAAGCTCTCTCTCGGTCATGTTATCACAAAATCTGGCAGTTCTATTCGTGGTCATTGTGTACGTGGATTCTGCAGCCCTGGAACGGAACTTCCCAGTCTTCTCCCTGTCATCCTTTCCGTGGCCTTTATAGACCATGTATGCCTGTACGTAAGTATCAGTGATATATATCTCTTGTAGAGAAAGATTAAGGAAGGATTTTCTATTCTGAATCAAGTGTACTGAAATGATTGGCGATTATTGAAAAAAAAAGTAACCATTTGGCAATGCAATGCTAATGTCATAAGTGTGGTTACGCTTGTATGTGGATACGTTTAATCGGCCGTTAGCTTCACCTAAATATTAAAATACTAAAGGCTGATTGACGCATTAGTACCAATTTATTATCAATTAATCATAATTAATGTCGATAATTAAAGTTTATTTTACGGTTTAAATTTGAAGTTTCAAATACTTTAAGAGCGTTCCTGACGGAAAACTAAGGGAGGAATCGTCTATATTTTAATGTTCTCTTAATTACAGTCTATTTGTACATAAAAATTATTATTGTGATATTAGCATTCCTTTGTACACAGAACAATATCTTTAATTGTGGTAGTTTAACTTGGGTTTTCGTATTTACGACAAGATAATCTCAAGTGTTTGATATGCGCCAACCATCTCCTCATTCCTTCTCTATTGGAGTTAGGATTTATTTTATTTATTTCAATAGCCTCACTCACAATGCGTGGTGTTAAAATCTTATAAAATAGTTGGTGACAATGCATGAGAGCATGATGAGAAAGTGCCGATTTGAAGTCTACAGTCTTCAAGTTAAACGCGAAGCGAAAACGTAAAAATAGTATTGATTATTTTTGAGGCTCACGAGAGCTGAGGAGACTAAATATACTTTACTAACCTGACTGGTTTTAAGAGTAAAATAATTATATTACCTATACAACATAGTATAGTTTATTAATAATTTGTTAATATATTCCTTTGATTACTGTATAAACTATTATATTTTTGTATGTATTTGTAATTTAATATAAATTTCATTGCACCTACCACTTTTTACTCTGCACTACCTTTGGTTGACTAGTAAAGAATGCCTTAGGCATTAAGTCCACCAACGTAAATTTTACATGAAGTGTTATAAATAAATTAACATTACATATACTACCGTCATTTCTAAGAGAAAGCTTCTTTAGCGTCGCCGTGATTTGAAATTCAATGAAACTGCACTAATAACAGGTAAACAAATGCGTATTATAGCTATGGCATAGTCGTCGTTAAAAGAATGAGATATGAATTATACTGCATGATTTTTTTGCTTAAATTTGTCGGCGTGAAGTTTTAAAAAAACAACTTTTATCTGACAATTCTGAGATGGCTCTAAAATATTTCATCGAATTGAAAACTAACTAATAGGTAATTTAATTATTGCCAAGAACATTTACCAAGTTTGTTTCTACTAAAATAATTATTAAATCTTGAATTTTAATTATATCAAAACGACCAGGGAACGAAAGATTCTTGAAAGTTTTAATGAGAATGTGAATTGGTACTTTGGATAGAAGATATTGTTCAGCTAATTAAACTTTTCAATTTTGAATATCTTAAGACAGCGTTATTCACATGTGTGGGTTACAATATTCGGCAATAACAGCTGGTATTAAGCATCAGATGTAGGTAGCCTGATTATCTTGGCCCGTGCAATCCAATATAACTAAACAATATAAGACATTGATGGGGTTGGCGGATATTGCTCATATTTTTTTACCTTAATTAACTGACGAATATACGAACATATTATCTGATTATGAATGATTCTTTTGTTATTGCCCTTGTAGGCAGACGAGCATACGGCCTACTTGATAGTGAGTTGTTACCGTCGCTCACGGACTTCAGCAATGCCAGGGGCAGAGCCAAGCCTGCCTACTGCTAATTGCCGTCACTTGAGTACATCAGCTATTTTAAAATGATCCAAGCGACCGCTGACATGTACCCGCAAGTTTGGTTTGAAGAAAAACATGTCATAGCTCTTAAGAAACGCTGAGGCGGATAATTCATTTCAGAGTCGGATGATACGGGGTAAAAATGATTTGTGAAAATACACTATATCACAACGAAGTAGTTTTAGGTTTTAGAAATGAAATCAGATAACGTGATGGGTTGTACCGTGATAGAAATGAGATGAGCGGATCTTCTCAAGAAACTCTTTAGAACAATTCACATGAAATATGAACTTAAGCTTTTTTTTTTGGTTTTTGCGAGTTGTAAGCTTAAATAAAACTATTTTTACTGTTTAATCTTCCGCCTTTTGTTGTCATTATATTATTTCTGTTTTTTATAATATATCACAGTTTCTGTGATCACCACGGACCACTAGGGTTTTATTGAAGTGAAACTTCTAATGCGACTTCCAACAAGGTTGCGTTAAACGTTTAACGTTATATATTTATTTTTCTATCTATAATTTAAAATATATATAATATAAATGTTGAAGATGTCGTCGCATCGCTTATACACAGCATTCTCTATTACAAGAGCAATCTGATTTAAGTATGAAAAATTAAGAAAACCACAATACTACACGTCGAAGAAGAAGTTTCACTTCATTCTAGTGCGCCAAGTTGCATGCGCACTTTTTTTATTAACTCTTCAATATTATGCTAAGGGGTCATCCATAAATTACGTCACACGTTGATGGGGAGGGAGGGTATCACCGAAATGTGACATAGTGTGACAAGGGGCATGGGGGGGTGGAGTTTCAAAAGTGGTAAAATTCATGTGACGTAATTTATGGATGGACCCCTAATTACCTACAGCCAAAAAAAAAAAAAATTTTTATTTGTTTGTTTCATTTCACACAGAAATTATGTATGATAATAAAACAGAGGGAAAGACTCTCTATTTTCCTCTGTTCCCCGAGAGAGAAAGAGAGAGAGAGAGAAAATATTGGAAACCTCCGTAGTTTCGACATTAAACATTTATATATCAAGATGAGTAGTGGAATTTACTTTATAGTCTTTAAGGTATAACCGCTATACATTATGTAAGTCCCGAGTCACGTCAACTGTACAAAATTGTACGTCAGCCATAATTATTTAATAAACGACGGACAAAATCTCGTTCCTTTATTAATTAACTTTGAAATTCTCGAAGGTCAATTGAAAATTTAAAGTGGAGCCGATTAAACAATGTTTAACTCCTTCCTGTACTACTTTCGCGCAGAAGTTCAACAGACGCGCCTACAAAGGCGGGTAGGAATTAATTAATCGATTCCAAGTGAAGTTGTACCTTCAGTGAATGTAAAAAGACTTGTATTAAAATATACGAGTGTTTAACAGTTTAAGGCGGCTTTCAGAATACGCTATAATATAATACCATATAGTATATAGCTCACAGCACAACAATATCGCGCACCATGCATTGTTATGGACACGTTCACACTGCACTGTACTATATGTTATTGGCTTAGTCTACGGCTTACTTACTATGCTATACTATATTGCTTTATAGTATAGCGTAGTCTGAAAACAGCTTCAAGACGTGTTATTTCATAAGGTGAAAACAATGATCAGTTTCTCCGAGAATCGTAAGCTATATGAAAAGCCAAACTGTAATCACAGTAAAAATATTAATACGTGAAGCAAAAACTTTGTATCCCTTTTTACGAAAATTGCGCGGACGGAGGAGTATGAAATTTTCCACACTTATAGAGAATATAGAGAAGAAGTGCACAATGCTAATTTTTTTTTTAAATAATGCATAAAAGATACATTAAATCGATAAAGAAAACATTACACACACTACGTACACGTACCATGTGTTTGACGCACACACGCATGCATACTATTTAATGTCAAGCTTTTGTTCTTGACGTCTGTTGTCAAATTGAGAATAGATTAAATTTTATTTGTCTTTGTATTTTTTATAGTGTAGTCTTGGCGAAATTTGTGATTATAGAAGTATAAAATACTATCATAATAGTGTACAAACTTACAATTCCAATTAATTATAGTCGAATTTCGACTACTACGGGACCTCTAGTCACAGTAAAAACTTAGAGGTTTCAAGACGTGAGAATGACTGTCGCGCCGGAGCGGGGTTGTCTCCGCGCACACTCCACTGCAAATACCGTTTGAATGTGCGCTTTCGTTGCACATTCTATTGCCGTTATTTTATCGTGGCGGTCTCGCATGTAATATATAAATATTATGATTGTAATGTAAATGTGTATGTGTTATTATATGTATATATTATATCAATTATAATGTACATAGTAAGTGAGTAAGTGTGTTAGCGGGTAGGTATATGCCACAAATGTATCACAGTAGGGCTTACAATCCGATCGTCAGTGATTAAGAATCTTAATTATTGGGAGGAATTGAAAATAAATACATTCTTAGATCTATACTCTATACTAATATTATAAAGAGGAAAGATTTGTTTGTTTGTTTGTTTCGAATAGGCTCCGAAACTACTGGACCGATTTGAAATTATTTTTTTCCATTAGAAGCCGACATTGTCCCTGATGAACATAGGCTACTTTTTTTAATTATTTTTTTTTGGTTTCATGTGTGTTTTAATGTTTCCGAAGCGAAGCGAGGGCGGGTCGCTAGTATTTAATAAGAAGCAGGGGCTGTGACGGGCTTTTACGTCAGTATCGTGAATACGTTTAACTAATTAAACACTACAGTGACGAAACTTCAACGTTGCAGACACATTCCCTTCCCTTCAAACATCGGTAGCGTGTAGCTACGAGTATGTGAGGATTGTATAATATCTGTCGCACCTTTATTATTGTATGTTATTGAATTTGCAAATATAGTATATTTCCTATTTTATGCTCTAGATCAGGGATTCTTAAACTTTTTTTGGGTAAGAGAATCCTTTTCCGAAATGAACTGATACCTCAAGTCCATATAGCCAAATTACTTCAAAAATCCTATATCTTTTCCTATTAATACAAAATATCGTAATATACGCTTACGAAAGTAGTCATACATATATTCAAATCAAGCTATACGTAATACGTGTAAAATGAAAATGCATGTATATGGTTATGTTGTGTGCAATATTGACCCCTTTGGGAATCTCTGTTCTAGATAGACAGACAGTTTACCGTGTCTACATGCAAAATTCAAAATTCAAAATTCAATTCATTCAATATTTCAACTTAGATGTCAGTATGACACACTTGTTGAATGTCAAAATACAAATAACAATGTTAACTTTACCACCGGTTCCAAAAAAAGCCACAGTCCTGAGAAGAACCGGCGAAACAAACTCAGCGGGCTTTTTTTTTTGTTTTTTCTCAAATATTTTCTTTTTTTTAAATAAATAAAAATATTTACAATAAAAGAAAAAACAAGTCAAAAAATACAATTAAAAAGTAATAATAATAATGAAAAATGAAATGTATTAAATGGTATGGTATTAAATGGTTCCTGAAGCTTGCAATATGAATGCTACCAACTACTTTTAGACCGTAAGAGTGTTAGGTTGCCGGCAATGGAAGCATCAGCTGTAATAGCGTATCGCTTACCGTCGACATGGTATTAAATGGTTCCTGAAGCTTGCAATGTGATTGCTACCACCTACTTTCAGACGGTAAGAGTGTTTTCTACATCAGCCGTCCTAGCTTATAACAGTTTGGTGGCAGAAACTACCATTAGAATTAAATACAATCTTAATAGTATACTAAATATAAAATTTTCATAACCTCTATTTAGTGTTGTTGAAATTGTTACCTATTATTATACTTATATATTATGTGAAGATATAAGTTAAGAAACACAACGCAAGTCCAAAGGTCAAGTTATATCAGTCACTTAAATCGATTAAAAGCCGGATATTAATAACCGGAAAACTTAATTAGATACGATCAAATGTAAAAAGTATTTACTGCTCTTCTTCTTAATGTAATACTCACCTTGCTTCCAAATATGAAACACAGGAGTAGGGTGACTGTCAGTTGTGTGTGACAGAAGAATATTATGTACAATAGGTCAGGGTTGGCCGGCGATTGTAGGAACAACCTGTCAAATAAGTTAATATACTTTTATAATGTGATTTTTTTCTCAATAATTTATTTAAAAATACAATTAAGTTAAGTTATTTTGATTTGACTTTTTGTTAGTAAAAAATAAATTTATATAAAAAATACAAATTTAAACTTAAATTCTATTATTTATCGAAATGAAAAAAAAACACCCTTTCCAAACAGGTCTCTAATATGATAGATAATACACATTAATTAGTTATTGATAAGAAAGTCAATCACTAAATAAATGTTTACGGGTGTCGGCCACTAGATGCCTTCGCTTCGATTACTTTCTCATTGCTCCTGTAGATGGCAGTAACAGTACCTATCCTATATTTTATTTTAAAGGAAGAATTTTGTAAATTTTCAGAAACTACAAATTGATAAAATTTTATGAATTTGTCTATAACAAATAAAGACTTGTATGATTTATTAATTTTTTATTTTATGTGTTTAGTTGTACAATAATCAAATCCTTAAATTTAACAACATATAAGTTTAGGGGCATCCACTACAAGACGTCAATAGTTGCCATATAATAAAATATATTTTTATAAGTATATATTTATGTATATGTATTTATTTAAGTACGAGTATTTGTATCTATAAATATTATGTATGTTATATATATATATACACATATGTTTAAGTAATATCACTATCACACTACACCTACCAAGGTTCATCTCTGCACCCCCCTAAGGTAGGTTTTTTACTGGTGGTAGGACCTCTTGTGAGTCCGCACGGGTAGGTACCACCACCCAGCCTATTTCTGCCGTGAAGCAGTAATGCGTTTCGGTTTGAAGGGTGGGGCAGCCGTTGTACTATACTGAGACCTTAGAACTTATAACTCGAGGTGGGTGGCGTATTTACGTTGTAGATGTCTATGGGCTCCAGTAACCACTTAATACCAGGTGGGCTGTGAGTTCGTCCACCCGTCTAAGCAAGAAAAAAAAAGATAGACTGTCAGAGAATGCCTATGGCATTAAGTCCGCCTTTGTACTGTCTAGTATATAAAGTTATATATAAATAAATAAATCTCTTAAAGTATCGTAGTTTCAAGTCCCGTCTAATACTTCGATATGCTCTAACATTATGTAAATAAAACAATTTTAATCGACACACACAGGGACAGCCCTGAAAAATTCTGACGTAATCCACAAGAACCTAAAATCGAATAATTAATTGGCGTACGAAAAGAGAGTTTGCACAGACGAAAGGATCGCATTTAACATTAAATAGTTGTACGAAATATTATTATTTGAATTAATAAAAAAGGGTGAATAGGATATATATCAAAGGTGCTCCATTTATACACATACTCAACTTCAATACAACACGCATTCAAATGTTTTTTTTTTTCGTTACATTGCGCGTGCTACCCGCAATGTAACTCAGTAAATTCACTTAGCTGTAGCGCAGCAATTTTGGTCTCGAAATTTGCTATAAAATGCGGGCTCTCAAAACACAGACTTGCTAAAATAACACTCCTGAAAGAGCGTACGTGCCTTGCACAATACAACATCGTCCCATTTCACCAGGTGGAGATGTTCAATTTTGTAATGCCAACAAACTCCGAAAACATCAGATACGTCGGTCGTCCCACGTTAGTGATGGACGCTGTTTTTTTATTAATAATTTATTGCGTTATCAAATCGGTTAACATAGGGCACAGGGCGCCGCCTGTTAAGGATTCTATGGACAGCCCACCACACGAACATCTCAGTCCTACAACAGCTTAAAATGGAGAACGCTCAACGCCTGTCTACCACCTGTCTGCAACGCATAATGCGCCACTTTGGCCACGTTGCCCGCAGATGTGCAGACAACTTTGAACGTCTGATGGTCACTGGAAAAGTAGAAAGAAAACGTAACAATAATGAGGGAGCGATGGAGAAGAAGAAGGCCTCTATCAGATAATGAATAGTCACCTTTGACCTTGAACATGTGAGGGATACAGGGCCCAGCCGCTGTTGACCAATGAGGATGCTCTTAAAATCTCGTTTGACGAAAAACATGAAATACTGTGTAGGGAAATAAATTGTGCGGGATGCTGTCTGGTGGTTCCGTGTAAAATGGGTGAACTTTGCTCTGACCATGGGAGTTGCAATAGTAAAAAGGAGATGATGGTATCTCAAACAATTCTTTACTGGTGGTAGGACCTCTTGTGAGTCCGCGCGGGTAGGTACCACCGCCCTGCCTATTTCTGCCGTGAAGCAGTTATGCGTTTCGGTTTGAAGGGTGGGGCAGCCGTTGTAACTATACTGAGATCTTAGAACTTATATCTCAAGGTGGGTGGCGCATTTACGTTGTGGATGTCTATGGGATTCAGTAACCACTTAACACCAGGTGGGCTGTGAGCTCGTCCACCCATCTAAGCAATAAATAAAAAATCTTTAAACAATAAAATGAACTTTCTGGAGAAGGTTGTCCACCAATCGGTAGATATACGATCAACATTTTGGAAGAATTCGTGTTCAAGCAAGATATCTTGGAGATATCGTTATGCGATCTAGATTCTTAGCCACTTTGTACCATCGGCCAATAGGCAGGTAGAATTACGGTAATAGCCGTGAACTACCTGTACATACATAGATATATATGTCTAAACAAACATTTTTTTATTACTTAGATTTTTTTTATTGCTTAGATGGGTGGACGAACTCATAGCCCATCTGGTGTTAAGTGGTTACTGAATCCCATAGACATCCACAACGTAAATGCGCCACCCACCTTGAGATATAAGTTCTAAGGTCTCAAGTATAGTTACAACGGCTGCCTCACCCTTCAAACCGAAATGCATTACTGCTTCACGGCAGAAATAGGCGGGGTGGTCGTACCCATCCGCGCGGACTCACAAGAGGTCCTACCACCAGTAATTACGCAAATTATAATTTTGCGGGTTTCACTTTTATTACACGATGTTATTCCTTCACCGTGGAAGTGAATCGTGAACATTTGTTGAGTACGTATTTCATTAGAAAAATTGGTACCCGCTTGCGGGATTCGAACACCGGTGCATCGCTTCAACACGAATGCACCGGACGTCTTATCCTTTAGGCCACGACGACTTCAAAACATAATAGAGGTATATAAACATAAAAAAGAAGCGATGAATACGTTTGGAATTCAGCATTCAATAAGTTTCAATTAAGTTCCCGATAGTTTGCTAAGTTGAACCGGCGAGTACAAATCTCTGTAGCGGAAGGCATTGTTCGGGAATGTAACTGTTTCAGTAAATCACGAACTCGCTTGAACTTCAGCGTTCTTAGATTTATGCCCGCTTTCGTTAAACTATGTCCAGGATCGTATTAGGATTCGATAAAGGTGGGTCAAATTATTATTGCAATGAAAACGCGAAATTAATTTTCTTAAAACGTATTGTTGTTACGCGCTGGGGTTCGGGATGAATAAAAAATTCTACCTAATTACAAGTTAATACTGTATTTGCACTTAGAACACATAAAACACTCTACAAACACTTTAGTAATGTCTGCGTGCCATCTCTGCAATGCTTTTATAATCGAGACAAAATCCCTAGAATCGTCGGGAATATTCTACAAAAGTCTAGTATTGTGTCTCCGCTATTTGACTATAGATGGCGTTGTACTTCTCGAGCGTTCTAGATGCTACTAGAACCTTCGATATTCATTAGACTATTCGGCGATAGATGGCGTTACACTTACCGGCGTAACAGTATTAATCTTTTGAAAATTAAGAATGTAAGTCGAATTTTCTGTCTGTATTATTTATTTTTAGATGCGGTCAATTATTGGTGAATGCTTGAGGTAGGAAAAAGCATATTTAATTAACGTATCTTAACCAAATGTTTTTATTTGCGTTTTTGCTGGCGTTTAACGATCGCGAAATGAACAATCATTTCATTTATGGTAAAATATTTGAAAAGGGTCCATTGACTCCCAATTAAAATCCTAAATACAGCCCTGGTCTCACATACTACTTGCTGAATTATAGTTGCACTATCGCTTTGGTTCTCTTTTTTACTTTCCACGTTTGAATGATCATCCTGTATTTCGTTTAGGTACGTTTATTGGATGTGTTGTTTAAGAATCCAGAAAAAAACTAATGTTTCTATCATTGATTAATGTTGAACGTTTTGAAATTGCTTTAAATTGGTGAAATGCGTATAATTAAAATGAGTGTCATTAAATGGCTGAGGCATTAGCTGGCTTGAGATATGAGTTCTAAGGTTTCAGTTTTAACAGTACTATGGCTGTCCCACCCTTCAAATTGAAACACATTACTGCTTTACGGCAGAGAATGGCAGGGCGGTGGTACCTACTTGTGCGGACTCGCAAGTCGCCCTACCAACAGTAATTACGTATTTCATTAGCAAATGGTATCTTTCGTACGCAAACGTTTCATATTTTTAGTTGTGGATGTCGGATATACCTATTTGACCGATACCAAACAAACATACCGAATACCAAACAAACATACTGTTACAAAAATACGGTTTTTTTTCTTCTTTGTCTCCACCTTATTTCACTAGGTGGGGTCGGTACGGCGAATTTTTCTATTCCATTCTCTTCTATCAGCCGTCATCTCAACGCTCACTCTTTTCTCTCTCATATCGTCATTCACACACTCCATCCATGTCTTCTTCGGTCGATCTCTTCCCCTTCTACCTTGCACTACCATAATAAAATACTGTTTCCGACCAAGAAGTAATCCTTCTACTCCGTTATGCAGCAGTGTCACTACGCATTGTACCAACGAAGCGATTGAGTAAATATTTGCAAATCGAAAGCTTACCGTTTTCGTAGAGAATTAATCTCCGGTGGTTCAAACGGAGTTGTTTATTTACGTTACACACAGACATACAGTTTCAAATGTTTGCATCGGCATGGGGACCGGGTATTTGGGTGGAAATGTGGTCTTTTCGATCAGGGTTCGACTACCACCTACCATCCTAGAGTCTGAACACTATGGATACACGATGATATTCAAGATACCGAACCTCCAGATGTGTATCTATGAAAGCCTCGGGTATGTGACGTGAGTTTTACCAGTTGAGTGAACTAACTTACGAGCCATTTGGTATTAAATCGTTATTGGAGCCCACAGATAACAGAATTTGAATGCTGCCACTCACGACTATCCCTCTCTTCAAGCCAGAGAATAGGTTGTTTTGTGGCCGAATTAGGCACAATAGTGATTCTTATTTGGGCGGGCCTCCCTGTACAGTTTAGTATCAGCCCATTTTGAAGGAAAACGGGGGACAGAGCAGGAATCTTGGATGGAGAAAAAAAACAAATTCAGAGTTAGACTTTTGGAATAAAGTGGATTACTTAAGGCCACGAAAGATCGATGGGCAGTGCTTGTTTACATTGCATTTGCAGAGGTTTTGCCACACACCACCCGGCTCTGGAGTTAAAACCTCTCAAAGTAGAATCCTGAGCGCTATGAAGAGCCCTTGTTCAATTGCGGTCTAAAAATAGGCAATGCAATAAGATATCTCTCCTTTTAAAGGAAAACTGTTTTTAATTTTTGTAGATGATAAACAATCTAAGACTTAGGTACCTACCGGATATAAACAGTCTAATTTATAATTCATCCATGGAAGAGAAGTAATCCTTATTTATCCTATTAGGCAAATTGAAATCGGTCCAGTGCCCGAAAATTTCAGTGTCGCTCCCGCGATCAACAAGAGAAAGGAAATTAACAAATTTTTACCTGTCCCATTTTGGGGACATAATTTAAGTGTCCGAATTAAAAATATTTCAGCTGCCCGATTCGAAGGATTCATGATTGCGCATTTCCACTTAATAAATTAAATTGTTGGGCATGATTGAATAGGGAAAGAATTTAAATTAATTCATTAATATTTGTTTATAAGAAGCGTAGTAGGTACCTATTTCGTGTAATAAAATCCATATTTTGTTTTAAAGCTACATTAACGAGACTTTTTTTAGAGAAAATGTCTAAAAAAAAGTATTGTTAATGTAGCTTTTTTTTCTGTTATCCTGATGTTGTTTCTAATCTGTTCACCTGTTTATACAATGGGATGGGATACCTATAAGTTAAGCCTTGCGACTCCCTGAATGTTAACTTTAAGAGATAACACAAAATAAAAATACATATTATCGATCGTTGAATTTTTTTGACCCCTTTGACCTGCTTGTTCTTACTTTAAATAACATTGATGATTTTTCCATCATAATGTCACCATTATTTCTATCAAGAAACTGTCAAGCGTGACAACAACAAAACAAAAAAAAAAATTATCAAGCCTTATATTCAATCATATCTTATCAACCAGTATTCTTTCAGCAAATAAAATAATCAAAATAAACCAGGTTGAAATACAGAATTAAAAATACTCACATCGAAATATTGAGGAAAACGGATAGCAGAAACTCGTTGTATATCGCCATAGATATGAATCTGCTCTCGTTAAATTCCGAAGGTGCCTTCCTCACCATAATACAGAGCCTTATGCCCCACATCAGAAAGATTACTTCGACTGTGGACAAAAACAACTTCTAAATTGTATATTTTGTTAAGCACCTTTAGGGTCATTGACTTCACGAACTCCATGTTCTAGACAGCACACGAACCCACATATACCTTACTGTTCATATCTTCTATTAGAGAGCTTATGTAGCCGAATTCGCGATGTCACTAATTAGTGGAGCACGTCAAAGGAATGTTGGTCCCTTTGTTTTAGTATCCATGTTCATGTCATTTTCATACAAAAACCTCGCTCGTGCTTCGTATGTGTGATATTAATAAAATAATTCTGTATTACTATAAACCCGAGAACTTAGTATCGGATTGAAAAAGGAGTGAATTTTTTTTGTTTATTTTATGATTTAGGTGAACGACCTGACGGCCTATGTGAGTTTAAGGGGTTATCGAAGTTCAGAGATAATAAAATGTGCATTCCAATACCGACCTTGGGACATAAGTTCTAAGTCTCAGATTTGCAGTATAACTATTTTACAATTACTATGTTTTAACTAGTTGAAAGATTTTTATTTGGCAACGTTTTTTTTTATTGCTTAGATAGGTCGACGTGCGCACAGCCCACCTGGTGTCAAGTTTTATTAAGTGGTTACTGGAGCCCATAGACGTCTACGACGTAAATGCGCCACCCACCTGGTGATATAACTACAAATTTAATATAGTTACAACGGCTGCCCCGTCCTTCAAACCGAAACGCATTACTGCTTCACGGCAGAAATAGGCAGGATGGTGATACCTACCCGCGCGGACTCACAAGGGGTCCCACCACCAGTAATGGTAACGTTATGAGATATACTTGTTTTTATAAAAATCTCCCAGAATTTTATAGTTTGAATGTATTAATTTTATATTTTAATTATTGCGTGTGATTCAAATAATATTTTTAGTTGAGTTGCCAACGCGTTTACGATCAAAATACTCTTGTACCACAAACATCCTAAGTCCTATTAATACCAGAATAAACATATTTGTTAACTACTTAAGCTTTATTGATTGTATTCCCGACGGAGAATCCCGATTATGAACCTAAACATAATCGCATTAAGGAAGTTACGGCATATATGTACATAAGTAGTATTAGTAGTAGTTAGTATAGGTAAGTAGTAAGGATTTTTTTTTGTATAGTGCTTGCGAAACAATTATATGCACTAGAAGTCCCGCAGTAGTCGAAATTCGACTATAATTAATTGGAATTGTACGTTTTTACACTATTATGATTGTATTTTATACTTCTATAATCACAAATTTCGCCAAGACTACACTATAAAAAGTATTTACAAAGACAAACAATATTTAATCTATTCTCAATTTGACAACAGACGTCAAGAACAAAAGTTTGACAATAAATAGTATGGATACGTGTGTGCGTCAAATACACGGTATGTAGTGTGGTAATGTTTTCTTTATTGATTTAATGTATCTATTATGCATTATTTAAAAAAAATATTAGCATTGTGCACTTCTTCTCTATATTCTCTGTAAGTTTGGAAAATTTCATACTCCTCCGTCCGCGCAATTTTCGTAAAAAGGGATACAAAGTTTTTGCTTCACGTATTAATATATAGATTTATATGCATACTATTTACTATACTTTTATTGTGATGTTGATATTTCTAAAGGAAAAAATATACTGATTCGTTCCAAAACAATGTACTGATATCACTTAATCTAAATCTACTACAGAAATAAAAGCGGATAAGTTGACAAAGAGCCAAATCAACCAAAGCAAATGGTACTTAGCTGTTTTGTCTTTGCCTATTTATAATATAATGTAGTATAATATACTAAAGTAGATAGTACATTGCTGCACCCACGGGTTTGTCCGCAACAAAATGAAGCCATAAAACAATTCAGAAAGCCTGCCTATTTCTGCCGTGAAGCAGTAATGCACTTCGGTTTGAAGGGTGGGGCAGCCGTTGTAACTATACTTGAGACCTTACAACTTGTATCTCAAGGTGGGTGGCGCATTTACGTTGTGGATATCTATGGGCTCCAGTAACCACTTAACACCAGGTGGGCTGTGAGCTCGTCCACCCATATAAGCAATAATAAAAAAAAAAAGAAAAAGCTAGCTGCGTAAGATCATTTTAGGTGAACATATATACACACCCACACACACAGATATATTCTCTTTCATATACATAGATTATAGATATACATTGAATAGTATATAATAACATACATGATTGCTTCGTGATCAAAATACTTCGAATGGCCGGAGGTATACTGAATTTTTGTTCAATAAATTAAAAACAAAAGTATTATATTTATATCTATATATAAATTACGTGTCACGTTGTTTGTCCGTGATGGACACCTAAATTACTGAAACGATTTTAACTTTTTTTTTGTTATGTGTTTTGTTCCAACTTAGGCCATACGATGGTTTTTATTTCGATTAATGATCACAATATTTATTAATTAATAATAAAATTATTTCTTATGTTGATTATTGTTATTAATTGTAAGTTCTAAAATAGATGGCGCCTTAAATCAGTTTTTACAGACAATAGTAATACTGTCTGACAACAATATCTCATAGATGGCGCTGTGTTAAAAATACCATCGTTTCACATAAGCTACAATTTGATGGCATAAACACCACGTGTTGCTGAAACTAAAGTATAAGGGAAATTTATTTCATAGTAAACGCAATACAGTGAAATTCAATTGTTCTTACTTTGTTAATTTTTGGTATTAGCATAGCTGGCCACGTGTTATTTAGAAACAAAAACCTTAGCCACACCAACGTGTGGCCGGGTCTGCTAGTATAGAATAATTCTTATTTAAGGTTGCTGTATCTGACATAAATACATACGCGTAGTGAAGGAATGATCCCACCAATCCGTGTTACAGAGATACGCCTTCAAATCGTCCTTAGTTCGTCCCACAATCACAGTGGGGGGTGCCACGAGGGTCCGGATGGCGAGTAGAACGCACGCCACTCCTACTATGATACCGATCCTCCTCAGCAGATACATATCTGATATCTTCACGGCCTTCGCTGAACGGATTTGGAAGATTACAGAGATCCTGTTGGAATATCATAAAACAAAAATTACATTCTTTAGGGAGACGTGCTAGAGATTTCTGTGCAGTAGTAGAGCGTGCTTCTGTAAATACAAGAGTCCCGAGATATCGCATAGTAAGTTGTTGTATCTAGTCGTAGAAATACGCTATACCACTTCACAGTCGTCATGGCCTAAAAGGATAAGACGTCCAATGCATTCGTATCTAGCGAAGCACCGGTGTTCGAACCGATGGCAAGTAGCAATTTTTCTAATGAAATACGTACTTAGCAAACGTTCACGATTGACTTTCACGGTGAAGGAATAACAACGTGTAGTAAAAATCATAACCGGAGAATTATAATTTGCGTAATTACTGATGGTAGGACGTCTTGTGAGTCCGCACGGGTAGGTACCTCCACCCTGCCTATTTCTGCCGTGAAGCAGTAATGCATTTTGGTTTCAAAGGTGGGGCAGCCGTTGTAACTATACTGCGACCTTAAATGTTAAATGTTTCCTATATTTCATACTAATTTTAACGGATCAGTGCGAAAATAAATTTTGAGACCAATTAGCTACGGCAGTGTCTACGTCAAGATTATAAAATTTCGAGGGAACATTTTTCTAACAAAATACCCGACTGAGTTTATAGGGGGAGGCACTAATTGCCTTCCACTGTAGCTTTATTCCCCTTAGTTAGTTTAGCTACATTAAATATAGCCTTATTAAGTTGGGAGATTGTCTAAAATTCAAAGCAGCGAATAATTTGATGTTATTTTTTCATATCTTTTTATTTCATACTAGCTGACTCGGCAGACTTCGTAGTGCCTCAATCGACAAATAAAATACCTAAACCTTTGTATAAAATAAACTTAAACAAAAGGAATCCGTCCGACGGGGGACACATCAAACGGAAAACAAAATTGTTATTTCTATTTAATTCCGAGCATTTTCATATTTATCTACCTTTTAAACCTTCTCTGGACTTCCACAAATAATTCAAGACCAAAATTAGCCAAATCGGTCCAGCCGTTCTCGAGTTTTAGCGAGACTAACGAACAGCAATTAATTTTTATATATATAGATTTAACAGGAGAGATTTCGGTAAGACTATTCTGTACTGATGTTTGATGATTAATGATTAAGTAACAGCGATGCGTGGTCACCTGTAGCTATTAGTAAAACTAAATGTCTCAACCGTGTAAACATTCCGACACAATTTTAGAGAAGAGCTGCGTACATTAAACCCGCCTGATATTCAAATAATGATTTTGGCAGAGGCGTTAGTTCTCGCGGCGAACGGAGAATTTAACAAAATCCAACCCAATGACGTATATTAAATGAGTTAAGTAAAGTTTCGCCCGGGAATTGGGCAAGTTTCCGGCAATGCAGTAAGTTGGTGGGGTCGCACGTCAATGGCGTTTTAAAGTGCGCGAAAATTGGATAAGTCGGCTCAACGAGTTAATTAAGCACTTTTTAATTTTGTTTATTTATTAGATGGGTGGACTTGGTGTTAAGTGGTTGTGGTGGTAACCTAATTATGAAAATTATAATTTTGAGAGTTTCATTTTTTTTTATTGCTTAAATAGGTAGACGATCTCGCGGCCCACCTGGTGAATGGTTACCGGAGCCCATAGACATCTACAACGTAAATGCCGCCACCTACCTTGAGACGTGAGTTCTAAGGTCTCACTTGTAGCAGTACAATGGCTGCCCAACCGTTCAAGCCGAAACGCATTACTGCTTCACGGCAGAAATAGGCGGGGTGGTGGTATCTACCCGTGCGGACTCATAATAGGTCCTACCACCTGTAATTACGCAATTTATAATTTTGCGGGTTTGTTTTTTATTACACGATGTTATTCCTTCACCGTGGAAGACAATCGTGAATATTTGTTAAGTTCCTATTTCATTAGAAAAATTTGTACCCGCCTGGGATTCCAAAACCGGTGCATCGCTCGATACGAATCCACCGGGCGTCTTATCCCTTAGGCCACGAAACTTCAAAATTATTATTTTGACTATTTAATAAATATATCGAATATTTCAACTATTATTGTTCTTACCGTTGACGTCACCCAAAACACATCATTACTGATCCTCCCGATCCATTAACGGTGCTTTTAGGCACCACAAGCACCGGTCACCGTCCTCGTCGAACCCGTCGCTTGCGGCGAAGGGCTCGACGAGCGAATTAACCCATAGACACAGCCAATGAGTTTCTCGCCGGATCTTCTCAGTGGGTCGCGTTTCCGATCCCGTGGTAGATTCTGCGAAGCACTGCTCTTGCTAGGGCCAGTGCTAGCAACAGTTCGGTTTGAGCCCCGTGAGCTTACATACACGTTAGGGTGAAGCTGAAATAGCCTCTCAAGGCTATCAGGATGGGTAGAAAAAAAAAAGGTTTTTACCTCCAAGTCTTTAGCATTAGGGCTCCATACGTTAAGCAGAAGCCTACTTCGCGCAGCCACACCCTTGCAGTGCAGGTCAAGACAGTCGGTCGTCCGTACATCACGAGTGTTGTGCAGTAAATGAGAAGAGCACCCAAAACTATGACCCTGAGGAGAGCAGGACTAGCAGCCCGGACCACCTAGAAGAAGTTTTATTTATAGGAGTGCTGGTTACCTTTGAAATCTTTCCTTTGAAAGCTGCCACTTCATTACGGAAACTATTTCATCTTTCACTTGCACCTTTTTGTCGTATTTACCGATATGTTTATTTCACTACAAAATTGTATATAGACTGAGACATATGGTATTTGTACAAGCAAGTACCTTGAGTAGAGGAGAATTTTATTCCTACTACAAAAAATAACTATAGTTAATAGGATTTTTCTTCCAACTGATACAACACTTTATTTACAGCACAATATCATTGTCGGGTAAAGGGCCAAACTATAAGATAATATGGTAAATACTTTGATATCATTCCACTAAGTCTATTTACTACTCAACAAAGTTGAACCCAAATGTATGGCTGATATATAACCAAATTGCATCACCGCGAAAGAAACATTTGAAAACAAACCGTGTGCAGGTAGCACATTGAATTTACTTTTGTTTATTGTTCTGACGAGCTAGTGTGATAGGTATTACTACCTGAATACTATCAGCCTCCTTGAGTCTAAGCTTAAGCTAAGTCTAAGTTAGAGCCAGATCTAAGTTTCAAGTCACTTTTCATCCTCCTGGTTCCTGCACATTGCTGTTTCACGGTATAAATAGAAAGGGTGGTGGTGGTAACGGTGGGGATTCACAAGACGTCTTACCACAAATTATTATGTTAATTGCAAATGTTTGCGGGTTTGATTATCATTCGAACCATTTTAAATAGAGGATGCATTTTGAACATTTGAAATGTTCGGATCTCGGTATTAGATATATTGAAGTATCTAGATTTGTTTTATTACGATTGCATCTTTATTGCTAGTTTATATAGAATCCATTTCTGGGTCGATCGATAATATGTCGACAATATTAAAGTATTGAAGAAACATTCAATTTGGTTTGATTTTGTTCCTATAAAACATACGTGGATGTGTTGTAGCCATTAAATGTGTCAAAACATTTAAAGTCCCACGGCAAATTATTAATTTCCTGTCAACGTCAACCGCAATCATGATATCTAACCGTACTCGCTCACAATGGAGCCTTGGCAGTTTGTATTGTACATATCGTTCCGCATATAAAGTGCCACTGCTTGTTTGTGCCAAAGTACCATTCACATATGCACTAATAATCTTTTGTAATGGGCCGCCAATAGGGGCGACGAATCATAAATACTAGTGTTTTGTTGGGAGCTCTATGACTTGTTCTTCTTCAAACGAGGCTTGTGGAGAGTACTCAACGGTAGGCAGCGGCTTGGCTCTGCCCCTGGCATTGCTGAAGTCCATGGGCGACGGTAACCATTCACCATCAGGTGGGCCGTATGCTCGCCTGCCTACAAAGGCAATACAAAAAAAATGTACTATGTGACCTTACTGTCATCTTTGCCCCATTTAGCCCAGGCCTGCCAGTGAACGGTGATATAACCTCCAGCCTTTCCTTTCGACATTTTATCCGGGTCCTACTTAAATACACTTCATCCCAAAAATGCTGTGCTCATCAAACCGTGAGCCATGTTTCACGACAATCTCTCAATTGTTTTTGGAACGACGTTCCTTATGAGACGATGCGGAGGGGTACCCTAACCGGGAAAAAACGTCCGTAACGTAAGATTTTTATTAGTAATGCACACAGTGTACGACTTTGTAATAACGTACAAAAAATAACATATTTTTTTATCATTCATTGATCACGATCTCAGAGCGTTCGTTTGCGCAATACACTAACTCTTAAGCAAACAACCGTGAATGAAGTGTACCACAATAAGTTCGCACGTTACCGAATGACCATGGGTTGTTGCGAAACCTCCAGTTTTATTTTCTCTATACCTCGAATAGAACTTAAAATTAATATTTTTATAATAAGGAATAATAATTCGGGAATTATAAGAAGGAATAATAATAATTCGGGATAATAATAAGGAATTTCGTTCCTATCCGGTGTCCCACGACACCACACGTCTTTTTTGTCTAACCTAGAATATCTATGATTCAAGAGCTAGCGTCCGTCAGCTCATTTACTCAATTAAACATAAAAACCTTACTCACCCTGACATGGCCATATTTAATAGTAAAATAGACAATGAAAGGTAGACAAGAGATGACCAAGCAGGCCAGCGCGAAGATCGTGGTTCTAACGACCCAGTTGAGAGCGGCCACACACGGGGAGCCATCGGTGCAGGCTTCGCAGCCTTCAGCGCAAGGTAAGCATTCGTAGGCTTCTGTCTTCGAGTAGAGACTGCGTTGGTGCTGGGAGAAACAGTTCATTGATTTGTGACGTCATTTAAAAAAATGCACATTATTCTTTTTTAATACGGTTTTATTAGCTTCAGACGTATGTGTGTTTGTAACGGAATCTTTGAACGTGATTTTGATACCCTTCAAAACGTCGGATTAACTCGAAATTTGGTATACTTATTAAGAACCGATGACAATTTAATATTTAAAAAAAAAAACTGAATAAAAAATATTGAAAAAATTGAAATTCAACTAAAAATGAAAAATAAATAATACATAGCTTAAAAAAACTAACAAAATACGCTTTTATAGAAAATCTAACTAAAAAATAGAAAAATTTTTTTAATAAATTTGAATTAAAAATAGTGTAAGAAAAAATGATTTTATTGTAAAAAAAGCGTGGGGTGCACCGTATCAGTAGTTATAAATATTTTATGAACAGATATGAGTAGAAGGGTTATTTTGATAATATGCTAAAAAGCACCCGACGCTTTTTTACACTAAAATCATTTTATCTTACACTATTTTTAATTCAAATTTTTCTATTTGTTAGTTGGATTTTATATAAAAGCGTATTTTGTTAGTTTTTTTAAATTATTATTTATTGCTTGCTAATGACACTTCACGGCCGTATTTGAGTAGAATCAGCTTTTTTAGTTGGAAATCGTTGTACAAGTTCTGATTATGAGCAGTAGTTATACACAGCACTGTGTGGCAGTTCACAACATCATTAGAATTTACTGCTAGATTTTTGTTATACGCTGATGATAGCCGGTAAAAACGTTTGAGTTATTTATTCCCCTAAAGAAGGTTCCCGTTTCATTATCCGAATAATAACCACGTCGCCTCACTAGTCCTTTTACGAGTCCTTTTCGTGTCTTACGCTACTGGTATCTTTTGATTGGTACACGAGTTACATTATGGATTAAATAGATAAGCGGATCTCTAGTTTTCTGGTGGTAAGACTTCTTGTGAGTCCGCATGGGTAGGTACCATCACCCTGCCTATTTCTGCCGTGAAGCAGTGATGCGTTTCGGTTTGAAGAGTGTGGCAGCCGTTGTAACTATACTGAGATCTTAGAACTTATATCTCAAGGTGGGTGGCGCATTTACGTTGTAGATGTCTATGGGCTTCCACTTAACACCAGCTGGGCTGTGAGCTCGTCCATCCATCTAACCAATAAAAAAAAGGTTCAAAGTACAAGAGTCCTGTTCCTCTCACCAATAAATGTTTCTCGTATTCCTCTTCAATGTCGCTGCCGTTATAGTACCTATTCCCGGCGGTAGTGTTGGGAAAATAGAAGCCGCGCTTGCAAACGCACCGATAAGAACCACGACGAAACCCCAGTCCGGGAATCGGAACGCACTGTAACAAAAATAATTAAATTCAAAGCCAGTGCCATGTGTCATGCTTATGAATAGATACTACACCAGTATATGTGTATGAAATACATTTTGGTTTTCCGATACGGAGACGCGATAGCAATCAATCACGGATTGTAGTCTGCGTGATTACGAGTCTTAGAGCGTTTTGAGAGTCCACACGAGTAGGTACAACTGCCCTATTTCAGCCGTGAAGCAGTAATGTGTTCCGTTTTAGGAGAGAACTCCCGTTACAATGCGTAGCTGAGTTATATATTTTGGCTATGTATTTTTTTTTTTTTTTTCTTTAGTGGGTGGACGAACTCACAGCGCACCTGGTGTTAAGTGGTTACCGGAGCCCATAGACATCTAAAATGTAAATGCGCCACCCACCTTGAAATATAAGTTCTAAGGTCTCAGTATAGTTACAACGGCTGTCCCACCCTTCAAGCCGAAACGCATACTTCACGGCAGAAATAGGCGGGGCGGTGGTACCTACCCTTGCGGACTCACAAGAGGTCCTACCATCAGTAAGAACTGTAGGAGAGAACTGCCGTTACAATGCGTGGTTGAGTTATACATTGGTTATTTATTTATTGACATAGTACCTTGCTCTATACACACCTGTATTAGACTACGTATATAAATAAAAATTGACATGTACGCCGAGGCAGATCTGATAAAATTATTTTATAAAACACGCCGGACTTGAGCGGATTTAAAAAAAAAAAAAAAGGTGTCTGCTGTGTGCTTTTCTGTTGAAGTTAAATATAGACATATCCAGGCTGTCTGTCGGCTTGCGAATAACTTTTAATTAAAAACTGTGCTCATTTCTAAATTGTGAATGGAATGGGCGGAGGCTAGCTTGAAACTGTATGCTTGTCGTCTAATGCTGGGTTATAAAGTTTAGAAATTTGAAATTATAATGGTTTAAGTGTTTTTATCAACCAGCCTGGTGTTAAGTGGAAAGTCAAGCGTATGGAAATCGCAATGATGAGATGGTAATTTAAAAAAAAAGGAGCGTAAACTAAAATTTTACTAGTAGTAGGGACGTGTGATGACTCCGTACAAATGTATGTATTGTACGGTTTGTTTTCAGTAATTTTTTTAGCGAATAATAAATATCCTGTTATTAATACAAGTGGTATTATCTTAAGAAACTGCTCAGCAATGGTGGATGAAAAGACAAGTTCATGCGCAACACGCATTTACATTTATACTAGTGGTCCCGCAGTAGTCGAAATTTGACTTTAATTAATTGAAATTTTTATGTTTAAACATTAGTATGGTTTTTATTGTCACACACTATTGTAACGTCCGTCTGGTGTAGTGGTAAGTGACATGATCACTACACTAGGGGGTCGCGGGTTCGAATCCCGCCAAGGGACGATATTTGTATGATAAATATAAATGTCTTTTCCAGGGTTATGGATGTATATTAAATATAATAATATGTATGTGTATAATAAAAATCTTACATTTATTTCCGATATCTGGTACCTGTAACACAAGTTCTTTACGAACTTATCACGGGACCAGTTAACGTGGCGTGATTGTTAGTAAAATATTTATATTATATTTATTTATTTATTAATTCGATAATATAATCACAGTATTCGCCAACACTGCACTATAGATCAATAATATTAAAGACAAACAATATTAATTTATTTTCAATTCGACCGCAGACTTTAAACAATAACAAAAGTTTCCCAATTGACAGTAAACAAAGAGTATATTTTTATGTATCTGCTGTGTCAAATACATGGTACTGTGTGTAATGTTTTCCTTATTGATTTAAATTATCTTTTATGCATTATTCTAAATACATATTAGTAGCATTTTGCACTCCTTCTTTATATTCTCTATAGGTGTGAGAAATTTCATACTCCTCCGTCCGCGCAATTTTCGTAAAAAGGGGTACAAAGTTTTTGCTTCACGTATTAATATATAGATAACCAATTCTTGGACCGTATCCTATTTGTTTCGGAACATTATATACTATGCTACTAATGAAAATGGGAATTTATTAAGAAGTACTACTGACCACTGACAATCAGTACAGAAATCCGAAAGTTTCCCCGTAAAACATTCAAATTATGCTAATACCTTGTAATCTTGAGATGGATTTTTAATATAAATCTACCAACCTTAATGTGGTAACGGATTTAGAATCTTCGTGCCCTGTACAAAAGATTTGAATTTAAAAGACCTATTCAAAAAATGTTCATGTCATAATTCATGGCCGCGTAGGATGGATGTGATGTTTTCTAACGAAAAAAATCCATCACTGCTGCAGAATTAAGAGCCTTATAGCGTTCTCCGTAAGATTGTCTGTTCTTTGAACTTCAGTGCGAATTTTTGGTTTCTAAAGGTAGGTCATTTATGATAATCGTGAGTAATGCGTTGTTACATTCCTTTTTTGTTACATTTCTAGATCTGGATCTGAGAAGATTAAAAAGGGACTTACTATATACAGAAAAATATTGTTACTTTTTTATTTTTATTGCCTTTGTAGGCAGACGAACATACGGCCCACCGATGTGAGTGGTTACCGTCGCCCATGGACTTCAATAATGCCAGGGGCAGAGCCAAGCCGCTGGGGTTCGGGATAAATAAAAAAATATACCGAAGGACAAATTAAAACTGTATTTATCACTTAGAACACTTAAAATAATTCACAAACACTTTAAAATTCTCAATTGACTTCTTCCGCTTCGCTTCAGGTGATCCGTTCGCTGTTTCGCTTCGAGTAGTTACGATTACTGATTGCTTCGTGCCATCTCCACAAAGTTTTTAAAGTCGATACGACATCCCTTGCATTATCGAGAACATTCCTCACAAGTAGAGCATTTTCGATGTGTGTTTCCGTTATCTGACAATAGATGGCGCTGTACTTCTTGAGCGTTCTAAATGTTACTGGAATCTTTGATATCCGTTTCATTCGGCAATAGATGGCGTTACTCTTACCGGTGTAACAATATTATATACTGTTATTACCATTTTAGAGAACTAGTCAAGTTGCTACTAAGAAATTAAGTTATTTAGCAACAGAAAAAACAACATTGCTGCAACTACTACAAAAATCCTAGATATTTTTATTCATTGGCAAAGTAGCTAGTTCCCCTAATTATAGGCTCTCTTACGGATTTATTTCAACCTGCTCATTGTCAGTGCTACTATACATATTTACTACTACTATACATATACTATACATATTTTTATGTTTCTATTTAAACGCTTATAATTAGTAGTGGTCCCCAGGTAGTCGAAATTCGACTACAATTAATTGAATTTATAAGTCTGTACACTTGTAATTATGATTATACTGCCAAGGACTATTTACTATATACTTCTATGTACTTCTTTAATCATAGATTTTTCCAAGACTGCACTTTAGACCAATATTAATAAAGACAAACTATATTTAATCTATTATCAATTTAATTTTGATCACAGACTATGAGCAATAAGAAAAGTTTGACAATAAACAAATAGTATGCATGCCTGTGTGTGTCAAATACATGGTAGTATGTGTGATGTTTTTTTTATTGATTTAATGTATTTTTTATGCATAATTTAAAAAATATATTAACATCTGCACTTCTTCTCTATAATATTCTCTATAAGGGTGGGAAATTTCATACTCCTCCGTCCGCGCAATTTTCGTAAAAAGGGGTACAAAATTTTTGCTTCATGTATTGGATGTCCGATTCTGTTCCGCTTAGTAGAGATAATCCTAGTTTAGGGACATATGATCGTGTGTTATTTGTCCGAGATTATTTGTTTATCTTTTATTTATTCAGGAGTTTGGTGAGAGACTTTCAGGGATTCCGTTCTGGCACAACATGAATATGTCAGAGATCAAAGGCGTGTTTACGTTTGTAATAAAAACCTACCACATCTAAGATACGAACGTGTATTCAGTATTTTCTTGCCTCCGAGCCAAAAGTCGCATCGAGATAGACCAAATTAACGGCCTGCGAGATGGTAATCTGTAAACGTTGCCAATGAACCCTACATATTCAATTTCATCCCCTAAACCTATTAGCTTCCTGGCAAATTTTATTATTGGCAACATATTATTTAATTTGATAATTTCAGCTCAATCAGAAGTTCAGTTGTCGAGCCGTTTTAGCGTCAGACGATGGCATCATAACTATTCCGTACCTGACGCGTCGTAAACATAAACCTGCTGAGTTTACGGACGTTAGCTCCCTGATATCCCATACAATTCTGTATTATTGCTACATACAGACTTGCCATTGTTTCCAATGTGTATATACGCTTATTTGTTGTGGCAAATAAACATACACAAGTTGATTTTAGCGAGTCTGGCAAATTGACAGTGGTATTTGACTTTGAGTCAAACAAATTCGCCTTTCAATTCAACAAGGTACCTATCCTACTATTTTTGTTTTTGTGAATATAGTTTTATTTGGAACAAAGTTCCTAATGAGACAATGCGGAGGGATACCCTAACCGGGAAAAAGCGTCCGTAACGTAAGTTTTTTATTAGTAATGCACACAGTGTACGACTTAACTTTGTAATAACGTACAAAAAATAACATATTTTTTATCATTCATTGACCACGATCTCAAAGCGTTGCGCAATACACTAACTCTTATGCAAAAAACCGTGAATGAAGTGTACCACAATAAGTTCGCACGTTACCGAATGACCGTGGGCTGTTGCGAAACCTCCAGTTTTATTTTCTTTATTCCTCGAACAGAACTTTAAATTAATATTTTTTATAATAAGGAACTTCGTTTTTATCCGGTGTCCCACGACACCACACATCTTTTTTTATCTGGTTTTTACGCTGCAATCTTATTAAAAATTGGCTATGTGGTGTTGACCTATAGGGGCACCACTCCACCTCTTTCCGTGGGTGTCGTAGCACGAGGTCATAGTCGCAATTGTATTGTAATGTCCACCTTCAGAACGAGAACGCTTGACTGCTTGATGGCCGAAATAGGCAGTAAGGTGGTAGATACTTTCCC